ATTGCAACGCGAAAAAATTACTACGCGTTATATTGCATCGCGCCAAATTACTACACGTTATATTGCCAAGTTTCGAATTACTATGCGTTATATTGCAACACGCCGAATTACTACGCGTTATATTGCAACGCGCCAAATTACTACTCGTTACATTGCAACACGAAGAAATTACTACGCATTATATTGCAACGCGAAGAAATTACTACTCGTTATATTGCAATATTCAAAATCGCAATGTATTGCCTCGCAACGTATTGTATAGTTTCATATTACATTGCCATATGTACAAATTATTACTCGTTATATTGCAACGCGAATAAATTACTATTCGTTATATTGCAATATTCAAAATCGCAATATATTGCCTCGCAACGTATTGTATAGTTTCATATTACATTGCAATATGTACAAATTATTACTCGTTATATTGCAACGCGAATAAATTACTATTCGTTATATTGCAATATTCAAAATCGTGATGTATTGCCTCGCAACGTATTCTATAGTTTCATATTACATTGCAATAAGTACAAATTATTACTCGTTATATTGCAACGCGAATAAATTACTATTCCCTATATTGCAATATTCAGAATCGTGATCTATTGCATCGCAATATATTGTAATTTTACAAAAAAACGTAACAATAACGCAACTTCTGAAACGTGCCTATAGCGATACTAATCCATCCCCGTCGCTGTGTCCGCAGGTCTGGTTCCAGAACGCCCGCGCAAAATGGCGGCGCATGGTGCTGAAGCAGGAGGGGAAATCGGACAAGTGCGACGGCAGCGTGGACGGCGGTTCCCTTGGCGACCTTGAGCTTTATGGCAACAGCACCGGAAGCGGTGGTCCACCGATGAGTCCTCCATTCATGCTGGGCGGACCTCACAGTCCCGCATCCTTGGCGTCCTTGGACTGCGCGTGATCCCACTTCCGGATCCGTACGATCGAGTGAATATGGACTCACCCCCGGTACTCCTGTGAATAATTTTCATAATAAAAAAGCAGCGAACACAAACCCACGTTCCTGAAGAGAACCTCTTCATCGTTCGGACTATTCGCCGATGGTGTAATAGTATCGATTGATAGGACGATGAAGAGTGCATGTACCATAGCGGAGGATTTTTTTTTTTTTAGAGAGAATAGGAATCGTTGTATTTATTGTAAGCGACGGACTTGAGGAGATTTTCGAGGGCCGATCACGAAAGCGTTTGTAATTAGTTGTCGATGTCTATTTATTGGTTATAAGCGCTCTGAGGTAAGCCTAGATAAGGGTTACGAACTTTACCAGTGCTGTGTGAGAAGCCAACGTTTCGCGACGGTTAGGTTAGGTACGGAGGTGTGGGCTCCTCGCTGAGGACATTTTGGCGGGAGATTTAAATGGTTTTATGCGACTCTGCAGGGTTAGGTTAGTTTTATGTATTTTTCAATTTGAAAATTTCTAGATGGTTGCAGACTTTTGGATTTTTGAGTATTTGGGTTTTTGGATTTCAAGGTTACTAGATATCTAAGTTACTAGATTTCTAAGTTCCTAAATTTCTAGGTTACTAGACTTCTATGTTACTAGATTTCTATGTTACTGGATGTCTAAGTTACTAGATTTTTAGATTACTAGACTTCTAGGTTACTGGATTTCTATGTTACTAGACTTCTAGGTTAATAGATTTCTAGGTTTCTAAATTTCTAGGTTACTAGACTTCTATGTTACTAGATTTCTAGGTTACTAGATGTCTAAGTTACTAGATTTTTAGATTACTAGACTTCTAGGTTACTGGATTTCTATGTTACTAGACTTCTAGGTTACTAGATTTCTAGGTTCCTAAATTTCTAGGTTACTAGACTTCTATGTTACTAGATGTCTAGGTTACTAGATGTTTAAGTTACTAGATTTTTAGATTACTAGACTTCTAGGTTACTGGATCTCTAGGTTACTAGATTTCTACGTTCCTAGGTTTCTAAGTTACTAGATTTCTAAATTTCTATGTTCTGCATACAGGAAATCCCTATATCTTGGTATCTCTACATTCCCAATTCCCTATATTCTAAAGTCCCTATATTTAAAAATCCCTAAATTTCCAACTCTCTATATCCTAAAATCCCTAGATCCAAAAATTGCTAAATCTCCAACTGCCTATGTCCCAAAATTGCTAAATCCCCAATTCCCTAAATTCTCTAATCTCTAAATTTCCAACTCCCTATATCCAAAAATCCCTACATCTCAAAATCCCAAAATCTCCAACTCCCTAGATCCCTATATTCCAAAACTCTTCTTTCCAACTATATTTCAAAGACAACATTAAAATGTTTCCCAAATTCTTCTCTACCCTCCTCTAACATCCCCTAGATTCTCTCAAACCCCACCAGTGTCTCCCTAATTTTTTCCCTAGATTGTCCCCCAGATTAAATAATATCCTCTTCCACATAAAATTTCTCTACATTCTTTCCAAAGCTGAAGAAGCCCACACGATCGAAATAACAGTCGTCGCACGAATCGAAGTAAAAAATCGACTGGAGAGTTTCGATAGTAATCGATTAATTTGTAGCTGCGACGTGCGTGTTCGAGTGTCGTTCGACGAGAAGTCGTCATCGTTAATGGAGAGTGTGGATGAGTATCGCGAGAAACGTTGGCTTTTAACGACGAGTTAAATAATACGATTATAAATATATAAATAAATAAATAAATAAATAAATGAATAAATAAATATATATATAAATATATATATTATTTATAAAGAAGTTCGGGCGCGTCGAGGACGTGTCTCCAGGGTCGTGTCTAGTGCTCCCGGGCCCTACACGAAAATTGGGGCTCTTTTTTGTTCATATTTGTTTATTATCGAACAAACGGTATTATTGAAATTTTCATTGTGTCAAGAGTGAGGCTTTTAAAGAATGAGCCAATGAACTTTTTTTGCAAGAGGGATTCTTTGGTAAAAAATTAAAGGTAACGTATCCTTGAGAATCTAAATCCACAAATCAGAAATTCCCAAATACCTAAACTCCCAAATCAAAAATCCCCAATTCCAAAATTCCCCAAATCCCTAAATTCCAATTCCAAAATTCCCCGAATCTCTAAATTTCCAATTCCAAAATTCCCCAAATCCCTAAATTCCCAATTCCAAAATTTCCAAAATCAGAAATTCCCCAAAGCCCTATATTCTAATTCCAAACTTCCCCAAATCCCTAAATTCCAAATTCCAAAATTCTCCAAATCCCTAAATTTCCAAATCCCTAAATTTCCAATTCCAAAATTTCCCAAATCAGAAATTTCCCAAATCAGAAATTCCCCAAATCCCTAAATTACAATTCCAAAATTTCCCAAATCCCTAAATTACAATTCCAAAATTTCCCAAATAAAAAATTCCCCAAATCTCTAAATTCCCAATTCCAAAATTTCCAAAATCAGAAATTCCCCAAATCCCTATAGTCTAATTCCAAAATTCCCCAAATCCCTAAATTTCCCAAATCGAAAATTCCGAATCTCTAAATTTCCAATTCCAAAATTCCCCAAATCCCTAAATTCCAATTCCAAAATTCCCCGAATCTCTAAATTTCCAATTCCAAAATTCCCCAAATCCCTAAATTCCAATTCCAAAATTCCCCGAATCTCTAAATTTCCAATTCCAAAATTCCCCAAATCCCTAAATTCCAATTCCAAAACCTATATTCCAATTCCAAAATTCCCCAAATCCCTGAATTCCCAATTCCAAAATTTCCCAAATCAGAAATTCCCCAAAGCCCTATATTCTAATTCCAAACTTCCCCAAATCCCTAAATTCCAAATTCCAAAATTCCCCAAATCCCTAAATTCCAAATTCCAAAATTTCCCAAATCCCTGAATTACCAATTCCGAAATTCCCCAAATCCTAAAATTCTAATTCCGAAAGTCCCCAAATCCAAAGTTCCCTAGTTCCAAAATTCCACAAATTGAAACCTTCGGATTTTCTCGAGGGTCCAAGGTTCTCAAGAATATAACCTTGTTATTTGATACCAAACCCGTTAAAAAATCATGTCCTACATTGCTATTCAAAAACCCTTACTTTATAAAATAGTAATAAGCAAGTTTCATGATTTTTATAATTTACACCGACGTATTTTAATAATTGTAACCTTATAAATGTAACCTACAATGTTCTTGCAAAAAGAAGTTTTATTTTCTGAAGCGCGAACCCCTTTCTTCAGCGGACCCTGGTGGCTGGTTTGCCCGGCGTGTAATTATGTATTAATTATTGCTCAAAGAAACGGCGAAAATTCGATGGGTGGATGTATAATCGTGTCGCGCCCGAACGCGGATCCTTGACGTAACTTCACGTAATTGTTGTGTAAATAAAGGACGTTCCTCGAGTTTCTTAAGGCACCGCTATAGGTTGTAGGGATTCTAATTGCATTCGGTAGCGGTTCTGTTAGGCAAGGTAATAATGATGATGATGACGACCACGATTATTATTATTATTATCACTCCTATTATCGATATCCTTGTAACGAACGGAACGGATTGTCTAATTTTACAAGATGATTTTTTCATTGAATATATTTTGACAATATACTCGCTGCCTCTGTCGACTTTTTTATTATCAAACCTGTCCCAACAAATTTTTCATCCTTTTGGCGGATTTTCAATGCGTTCCTTGCTGGATTTCTGGGGAAATTTCGGTAAATTTGGGGATTTGGGGAGATTTGGGGATTTTGGGGACTTGGGGAATTTTGAGAACATTTGGAAATTTGGAGATTTGGGGATTTTGGGGATTTTTGGGATATTTGGAGATTTGGGGATTTTGGGAATTTTGGGGATTGTGAGGATTTTAAGGATATAGGGAATTTTGGGGATATTTGGAGATTTGGGGAAAGTTGAAGACTTAGGGATATTTGGGGATTTGGAAAAATTTGAGAATTCTAGGAAATTTAGGGATTTAGAGAAAGTTGAAGATTTAGGGATATTTGGAGATTTGGGGAAAGTTGAAGATTTAGCGATATTTGGGAATTTTAAGAAATTTGCAAATTTTAGAAAATTTAGGGATTTGGAGAAAGTAGAAGATTTGGGGATATTTAGTAATTTAAGGAAAATTGAAGATTTAGGGACATTTGAAGATAAAGAAAAATTTGGAGATTTGGGGAAATTTAGGGACTTTGTAATATTTGAAAATTTGATTACTACAAATTTAAAAATTAGTAAAGTTAGTAAAATTACTGAAATTACTGAAATTACTGAAATTACTGAAATTACTGAAATTACTGAAATTACTGAAATTACTGAAATTACTAAAATTACTAAAATTACTAAAATGATTAAAATTATTAAAATTATTAAAATTATTAAAATTACTAAAATTACTAAAATTACTAAAATTATTAAAATTATTAAAATTATTAAAATTACTAAAATTAGTAAAATTACTAAAATTACTAAAATTACTAAAATTATTAAAATTACTAAAATTACTAAAATTATTAAAATTATTAAAATTACTAAAATTACTAAAATTACTAAAATTATTAAAATTACTAAAATGAGTAAACTTAGTAAATTACTAAAAATTTCAAAAATAGTAAATTAATAAAAAAAACTCCAAAAATCCCCAACCCTCAAAAAACACCCCAAATCTCCATATTTAACCCAAAACTCAAAATCCTATCCCTCACACAATCCTCACAATCACACAACCACTACTACTCTCACCAACCCGAACATGTTAATTTCCCCCGCATCCTAATCCGCCCATAAAGTCGATCCCGTTCCGAATAAGTATAAAAAATAAACGAAGCAGGGAAAAATCCAAAGTGCAATAAACGAATGAAACTTCCAAGTGCACAGACACGCTCGTAAAAGTAGGTTTCCCGATGAAAGCGACGGGACGAGGGTTCGGGTTTGGCTCCGCAAGGTTGGTAATGATTTAACGAGGCTGTTACGCGTAACCGGCGTAGACATTAAAATTAAAATTACGAGTCGCACGCCAATCCGAATTACGCGAGGCTGGATCGCCGTTCCGCTCGAATTATCCTGCGGTAAAAACTGAAAGACGATGAAATTTCTCGAGTACGCGGTCTGTCAATCGTTTTTTACTTCCTTTCCTACCGACAGACTTTCTAACGGGGCTTAACGACGTCGCTGAAGAGACTCTTGAAGCTATGCCAGGATTAAACACCTGCGCTGCCATTTTGTTTAGGCTGCGCGCGCAGGTGGGTAAACGTGATGTTTAAATAATTGTGTATTATTGTTTAATTTTATTGTATAATATTGTAACATTGTTTTGGGATATTGGTATTTGGTGCTAGTGGTGCTTTAGAATATATTTAAAGTGATTTATTATGGGTTTTTCTTTAATTGTTTAAGAAATGGAGTTTTGGCGCGAAAAGGAGGGGATTTCAAATTTAAAACTTGTTATATTGGAAGTTATCGTGTTTTGTAAGTTATAAATTTGGAAATTTCTTAAATTTGAATTGTCAGAGTTCTAAATTTATAAAATTTCAAACTTCTCAATTAAAAATTCACAAGTCACGAAATTACCATTTTTGAAAGTTTGGAATTTTTTAATTTCTGAAGTGACAAATTTCCAAAGTTCAAAATTTTGAGTGTTGAAACTTGGTAATTTGATAACTAGAAAGTTCTGAAATTTCTAAATTGCCAAATTACAAAAATCCCTAGATCTCTAAGTTACCAAATAAAAATTAAAAATTCTTAAAATCACAAATTTCTAAATTTCCAACTATCTTGAACTATTTAAACTATCAAATTCCCAAGTTACTAAATTTCTAAACTACCAAACTCTAAAATCCCTAGATCCCCAAATAAGTTTACCCTATCCCTAAATAAGTGTTAATATAACGAGAACTATAAATTCTTAAATTGCCAAATTAATAAACCCCCCAAGTACACAAAACCAATAACGCAAAATGTCCCTATTAAACGTACATATCGAAATATCCCTAGCATCCGAAATAACCATCTCACCTCGTTAATAAATCGAACACAACGAGCAATTCTCACGTTCAATCAATTTTCATCGCAATCATTTAATTGAACATCTAATAGGGTCATTCGCC